TTATATTAGAGATAATACGGTAGTTATGGTTTGTTAGTAGCTTTTGTCATGTGCTCGTCGTATGTTGTACCAGCACTTACCCTGTGTCCCATACTTCAGTCGTTTCAATTTTTTGAGGGGGGGGGGGGGGCATATTTGAGGCATACCCTATTCCAAGACGTAGCCGGGCCGTAAGTTGAGCAACGAATCGTTTTGCATGGTTGTTGTAGACCCCAAAGGAAACATACAGTTTGAAACATTTGATAAGTATTTCGGTGGGACGGGAATGTACAATGGGAGGCACATTGAACTGTGCAGCAAACGGGCACTAAAGCCGGTCCAGTACAAGAATAACACATACAGGGTTTCAGGCACTGGTACTCGGTTCTTTCGTCGTGTACTGCAACTAAGTTTCACAATACATCTCATTATCCTTAGCTACAAGCACAAGTCATACCAGTCATTATCACCTTCATAGTACAGTCTGTACTGACCATAGCCTACTCTTTATATTTCAGCGTTTTCATCATCATATCTAATGTATCACATCATCATCGTATCTAATGTATAATAATGTATGCATGCATGTACACCACGGACAACTACATACTTATAATAATAATACCGTATTTCCACAAATAGTAGGCCGGTCTACTATTTTTTCAACCTCGTCCTAACCCGGCCTTATAATCGAGGACGGTCTTGTATTCGAGGACGGTCTTTTATTCTTTCAACCCAGTTTGACCCGGTCTTCTATTTCTCGCCACACAGTTTTACCCCCGTTCTTCCATTTTCTTCTACACAGTTTGAGCACGGTCTTCTATTTTTTCCCACAGTTTGAGCACGGTCTTCTATTTTTAACACAGGAACAAAGACTCATTTAGTAAGCCCGGTCTTCTAATCGGAGACGGTCGTTTATTTTTTCAACCGCCCCCTGCCCCGGCCTTGTATACGAGGAAGGCGTTGTATACGAGGACGGCCTTTTATTTGCGGAAATACGGTAATAATAATAATCAACGCAATAAATAGAGTAAGCTGCGCACTCAGTACAAACACCATAAGCAAAACTTGTTTTCATGTAAATAAAGAAGCTTGTTCCTAAACGTTTTCGTCGCCATCTCATCAGAGGATTACTGGCAAATCAACAAAAGCTCTTAACTCAATATATATACGCACAATGCAAGTAATAATTTAGACCCTAACTAGCGCGATAAAATGAGAGCTGAAAGAAACATTACACCATTCAACGATATCAGGTGACAACAGATGCGATAAATTCACCACTAGAAAGTCACCATGCAACCACAAACGAGAACTACTGATCTAAATTCACAAACAATTTCAACGTAAACAAATTCTTTTTCTGCCTACACAAAATCGGCTTAGTGGTAAAAATCGTTCACGTAGTCAAAGGTATTTGCGTGTATTGGAGTCTATTTACATTTTTACCACTAAGCCGATTTTGTGTAGGCAGAAAAAGAATTTGTTTACGTTGAAATTGTTTGTGAATTTAGATCAGTAGTTCTCGTTTGTGGTTGCATGGTGACTTTCTAGTGGTGAATTTATCGCATCTGTTGTCACCTGATATCGTTGAATGGTGTAATGTTTCTTTCAGCTCTCATTTTATCGCGCTAGTTAGGGTCTAAATTATTACTTGCATTGTGCGTATATATATTGAGTTAAGAGCTTTTGTTGATTTGCCAGTAATCCTCTGATGAGATGGCGACGAAAACGTTTAGGAACAAGCTTCTTTATTTACATGAAAACAAGTTTTGCTTATGGTGTTTGTACTGAGTGCGCAGCTTACTCTATTTATTGCGTTGATTACATTTTTATCTCCACGGAAGCTTTTTAATAATAATAATAGTAATAATAACAATTGTGAAAAGAAGAAGGACAAAATGTTACAAGTTATGACTAACTGTCCACCAACGTAACCAGATCTTATACAGTCAGCGAGTGCGACAAAATGGCACAAAACTGACAAGGAGTACTGAGACATTCGGCGACCTGACACCTAGCTCCAACACTTCTCCAAGGCGCAAACCGACAACCTTCCAACTTGGAAGGCTCATGTTCGGAAAGGTCCAAGAGGGGAAGGAAAGCGCAACGCAATGTCAGTTTTGTGCCATTTTGTCGCACTCGCTGACTGTATAAGATCTGGTTACGTTGGTGGACAGTTAGTCATAACTTGTAACATTTTGCCCTTCTTCTTTTCACAATTATTTGATTGGCTCACCATCCGAATAATAACAACAATAATAATAATAATAATAATAAAACACAGATACGCGAACAACATGCACAGTACATGCTTCCGCTGCTGTTCTCTAGCTCTGTCCAATATATGTATGTCAATATCCGGCAGTTGTGGCGACTCCTTCAGATTATCTGCCGCCATCCATTATACTAAGAAGGCGATAATGACTGGTATTGATTTGTGCTTGTAGCTGAGGATAATGAGATGTATTGTGAAACTTAGTTCTAGTACACGTAGCAAGAACCGAGTACCGGTGCCTTAAGCCATGTATGTGTTATTATTACACTGTCTGCTTGCTGAATAGTTTGTACAGCTGTATAGTTACCACCGCTTTAGGAGCTGCACCAGTGCCTTGATCCCAGAGGTTGGTGGCATTTCTACTTTAGGAGCTGCACCAGTGCCTTGATCCCAGAGGCTGGTGGCATTTCTACTTTAGGAGCTGCACCAGTGCCTTGATCCCAGAGGGTGGTGGCATTTCTACTTTAGGAGCTGCACCAGTGCCTTGATCCCAGAGGGTGGTGGCATTTCTACGGATGCGCAAAACTCGGCCTCAAGCCGAGTCTGACGCGAACCGTGATTTTTCCCCGTAGAGTTCCATGTGACTACCATGGTACATTCCCGTGCCACCAAAATACTCTTGTCAAACGTTGCAAAGTATGCTTCCTTTGGGGTCTACAACCATGCAAAATGATTCGTAACTCAACTTACAGCCTGGCTACACCTTGGAATCGGGGTACGCCTCAAAATACCCCCCCCCCCCCCCGAACCCAAAAAACAACAATAATAACTTTGAAAGGACACAGGGTAAGTGCTGGTACAACATCCGACCAGCACATGACAAAAGCTAAAAACAAACCATATTTATGAGTGAAATCATCACCTCAGTCACATCACCATCACACCAAACCAGGCCTACATCCTGGAAGGCAATAGCCATCATGTGCAGACTTCAATGGACTGCATCACAAAATTGCCAAAATTCAAGCGCCCCAACAGGAATGAGTTACACTCACACCTCGTTTATCCAAGGCGGTCCGGGACCGAGCACTGCCTGTAACTTTGAAATGTCTGTAACTCTGAGTAACATACATCTTGATGGGGAACGGCAGCTATAGATATGGCACATGACGTCACTATTTCCACAAAAGGTGACAAAGGAGTAGTAATACAGTAGGTATCGGTTATAGCGTGGGTGTTTGAAAAACGACATTTGATTCTTATTGCCGATATTTCTTACACACGATAAATCACGTGTGACATATCATATGCACGTGTGACATCATACATGTACATGTACATGTATGCGCGCACGTTTGGCATGTAGACACGTACACATGATACACGTACACACGGATCAATCAGACTCGCGGTCGTGCTAGGCGACTGCGGAGCAGCGGATACGAGGGAAGTCGGAAGAAAGAGTCCGACTGGACAGAAAAAGTGATTCTCCAATGCTCCCTTGGACATAACTCTCTTTTTGTGTTGAATATTATTGTATTGAGTATGCACAGAGCACAGATGTTATTACTACAGGCGATACACTTTGCACTAATCTGGCATATTTTGCTACACAAAATCCATTCTTAGGGCCGATATATTCTACTATGCGATAATACTGCTTGTAAGAATAAATATACACATAAAATATGTGTTATGACTATGAAAAAATGAGTGTTCATTCTTGTAAGCAGTATATTCTTGTTTACGACCACACTATAACCGATACGCACTGTATTTCCACGAAAAGTGACAAAAGAGTAGTAATATTTCAACCGAAACTTGTCCAAAGTGCGGTAGACCGAAGTGCCCGTGACTTTTGTCTCCGGACAACTGAGGTATCAGTGTATGACTCATACTTTCTGAACCATGCACTGCAAGATAGTGAACATCTCCATTACCGTCCACAGGGCACCCAGTACATGGGTGTGTTCCAGGTTTTCCTGAAAATATATTAATTTTACCTACCCGGTGACGGAAAGCACTTCATCAAGCTCCAACAACAGGCACCACACCAGACGCCTGTATGCCAAACCTTGCAGCCGGCGTGGTCACCTCTACGCAGTCTAACAAGACATCTGCAAAAACATCCTGTGTCACTCAAAATACAATACATCCTCTCCGAAGTGACTCGAATTTCACCAGCAGCAATGCTTTGCTGGGTCCAAAAGGTATTGAACAAATCCCGATTAGTGTGATCTCATTGATCTGGGAAGATCAGTCAAACTCGCTATTCTACTATGACACATGGTCAGTGCAGGCCCTGCAGCACCGCTCTCATGACGCAACAGTGTCACGCTTGACTTCGGTCATACTGTCAGGATATGTCGCCCCCAGAGAGGATATGCTTGCTGTTTGGAGTGACAAGGACTGTCTGTGCACATGTTTTGTTAGACTGCTTAGAGGTGACCATGCTGCAGTGTTTGGCATACAGGTCTCTAGCGTGATGGCTGTTATTGGAGCTTGAGGAAGCGCTGTCCGTCAACGGATACCGGATACCGATAGGTAATTGGCCCTGTTGTTAGTGTACTTCAGTAGTACCGGTATGAATATGTAGCAAAAAGTGAAAATATTCAAATAGTTTCAAGTACATGTACAGTGCCTTCGCGGTGAGTCCAGGGACTACAGACTACAGTATTTCATTGATAATTTCGTAAAGGCATATTTCGCGGTGAGGAAGGGAAGGCCGGTGAGCACCACTGCTGATTGGCCATACACATGGTCCACACTTGTCCTCACTCAACGTCAATAAATTTTAATTTACCTTGAGCAGTAGAACAGAGGTCGTCAGCACATAACGTATTCCGCGAGTTTCTCCGTTATGGGCAAATACGACGGCCCACAAGCCTAGTGCCACAGCTCCAGAAGACAGCTTGAGTTATTTGCCACTGCTCGCGTGCTGACAGCAGTAAAAATAATTCTCTCCTCCTTGCTTGTCAAATAATATTCCAAACATTGTTCAAGTATTTGCCAGGAAAGAAGCTGACGAGGTCACACCGGGAGGAGAGGGGTGTTTGTATCGGGAATTGCACTCGAAGCTCTTGCAAACTAGACCAGTTAAAGCTTGCTTGAACCAACACCGCAACTACAACGCAAGACCAAAGGCAAGAAGATAAAGAGAACAGGAGAAAAGCAAGCAAGTAGAAGTATGATTGTGCCGAGTAAAAGTTTAAAATTCGCGGTGCACATATCATCCGCGCGAACATGATGTACTCACACGTACACGCACCTACTCAGCTACGGGTAGGACTAAAGGGACAAGCCCAACTATTTTTGCAGTTTTCTGTCATAAAAAAATAAACGTCACAGGCTGCTCTTCGCAGGTGTCCGCGTCGGAGCGGTCCGGGCGAGCGACCGCATCTCAGTGGGACACTTGTCCGTGGCCGTTGTACTGGAAATCTGTGGCAGAACCTTGCCATGCCAGAGGCTACACACACCCGGGTACCTATACAAATCCTTGGTGTTGCTTCTTTCATTTTTATTTGTTCTTGCTGAGAAAGAAACGTTGCTGCTTGGAAAGCTTTCTGTTCACTCCAGCGACTTTCCTCTAGTAACGTTGCTCACTGATAATGATCATAGCTCGTGATACCAATGGTGAAGAGAAGCTGGGTTTCTTGCCATTTGCAACTTCCTGGCTCTGAAAATATAGCTTGAACAAATAAGAGCTCCAAGTATTTTAGTTTTAGATTTCGATGTGCCAGACCTATCGTTACGAGATGCAGAGATGAGGAGCAAGGGAGGCGTTGGACTAATGCCAATAATGGTTTTATGGCCCAGACAACGCCAGCGATTTTCACTTGTCAAGAGGACAGTCAAGTTGGAGCAGGCAGATGACAGATTATTTGAGCATTTATAGCGGAGTGGGTGGTTTGCTAAAGAGAATCGTCTCAGTACCTCATGGTTACTAGTATCTGACAAATGCCTCTTATTGCTAGTCTGCATTATTGAGCATAGCAGAATTGATCATGTCACAAGTAGTGTCAAGACTTGATGTCCTACGATTATACTCAGATCATGTTGTAACTTCACGGGAATATCCGTCCTGCCACTTTACGCTCTCCCAAAATTGCCTGCAGGAGTCACGTGCCTGTGCAAGGGACAATGCGTTTGCATTGCTTACGGATGCAAGCGGATGGAGTGTAGACCAGATGAGAAAAAGTGATCCGGATATTCAACTAGCTTGGACCGCCATTATAAATTTGCCTGATGCCTGGACTATCTGAACATTGCTCCAAACCAATCCACAGAAGCAATACCCACACAGGAAGCCAAATGATAAACCCATTCATCAGCTATCGAACCTTTCATCAAAACATAATGCAGTGCATGCCTACTACTACTCAAACGAGATCAACGGATGCCACATGCCACACAGATACAACGTGGAGGCTCAGTATTTTCAAGACCCCGTGCAGTCTAGACAACTAGAACAACGAGGTTTGCACCTAATGTCCCTCGATTTGCTTGCCGTATTTAGTTCCTTGCAATTGAAGCAAGCCGTATCCGAGAACCGGTCACTGAGTTTGCAGTGTCGTCGTCGCGTGTATGTTGTCGTGGTGCTCTCTACCCTCCTGTACGGCGCCTCAACCTGGACAACGAAGGCTCCGGACCTACGACACCTCAACCTTTTCCACCATCAATGTGTCAGATCTATCGTTGGAGTGTCGCGACGGCAGCAATGGGAGACCCACGCAACGTCCTCAGCCCTTGCAAAGGCCCTTGGAGTGCCTGAGGACATTGGTCACATCATACGGGAATGACGTTTGCGCTGGCTTGGACACGTGGCACGGAGGGAAGATCACCGGTTGCCGAAGTGTGTTCTCTTCGGTGAACTGCCTGCCCCGCGCCCCGCGCGTGATCCACGCAAGAGGTGGAGGGACGTTGTTATGCATGACTTTGAGCCGGTTGAGCCACCGGTACCAACATGTGGATGGTACGATGCAGCCCAGAACCATCCGGAGTGGCGTGCCATTGCCCATCGACCACACAAGGCACCCTCTGCTGCTGGCTACGGTTGCGCCTGCGGCCGCATGTTCCGTCGAAGCGGCGACCTGAAACGCCATCAGTCATTCTGTCGTGGACTGGAGAAATAACAATGCGGTATCATTGCTACGCAATGGGCAAGGTCAAGGTGTGTTTATGGTGGTACAGGTAATGCTATGTACGCCTCTTTGGTCGCTCACACATTATCCATTGCCGGCATTGGTTACACGTTATTATCAATTTGTTATGACCTTCGCTGGTCTGCACACCCACCCACTCTACTCTCTACTCTACTCTCTGAAGTTGAGACTTTCGTTTGCCATTTCATCCGGTAGTTTGACTCTCTGAGAATATCCCTGCTACATGTACATGTATAATATAATTTATACTTTACAATTATCCTTGTACGTGTCTATCTTCTTGACACCATGACTTTCTTTGAAGGTCTTGTAGCTATGAAATGTTATTTGCTGCAGGCCATGTGTGTGGTGTGGTGTGTGTGTGTGTGCATCCGTGAATGTCCCACGCTTGGCCCGTGGGTAAATATACAGTCATGTATATGTTATATGCCACACCAATTTCGCTATCTGTATAATATTATGCAGCACAGTGGCAGGCATAGAGAGAGAGAGCGAGAGGGAGAGAGACGTTTTAATGTCTCTGATGTGAATTCTTCACTACTACATAATCTACATTGTACTTGTATGATCGAGCGTATGAGTGTGTGTGTGTGTGTACTTGTATGATCGAGCGTACAAGTGTGTGTGTGTGGGTGTGCATTTGCAGATTTGGTGCTTCTCTTGCGACGGGCGTATACATGGTGTGTGTGGGTGCATCCGTGAATGCCCCATGTGTGCGTAAATATACAGTCATGTACGTGTTCTGTGCCATTCAATTTCACTAACTGTATATGCAGCACAGTGGCAGGCATAGAGAGAGAGACAGAGAGAGAGAGAGAGAGAGAGAGAGAGAGAGAGAGAGAGAGAGAGAGAAAGAGAGATACGTTTTAATAATGTGTCTGAGGTGAATTCTTCACTACTACATGTACTTGTATGATCGAGCGTACGGATGTGTGTGTGTGTGTGCGTGTGAATGTCCCACGCATAGCCACGTGCGCGGTGCCACACAATTTCATTATGTGTAGAACAGCGGCTGGTAGAGAGATAGAGACAGACAGACAGACACAGAAAGACAGAAACGGAGGGATGCTGCGCATAAAGAGCGACAGACAGAGACACAGACTCAGAGAGAAAGAGACAAAGCACAGACTGAGGAGAAAACAGACAGATACAGACAATCAGACACAGAAAGACCGAGACAGAAACAGAGGGACGCACATAATGAATGACAAAAGGAGAGACAGACACAAAGACTCAGGGAGCCAGAGACAGAGGGTCCTTAGGGAGAGACAGTGAGAAAAAAACTAAGAAAGGGAGAGGCAGATCGAGAAGGAAGAAGACACAGAGACTGAGAGAGAGACAGAAGAGAAGCAAACGGAGAAACAGCGACATAAGTACAGGGCCAAGAAGACAGACAAACATAGAGAGACAAGCAAAGAGACACAAGCAGAGACAGACCAAGACAGGGAGACAGCTGGAGAGTTACACAGACAAACACAGATAGGCAGACAGAAAGGCCGTGACGAAGATTCAGAGAAACACAGAGAGAGAGAGAGAGAGAGAGAGAGAGGGGGGGGGGGGAGAGAGAGAAGAAGAGAAGAGAGAGAGAGACACGCGCACACGCACACACACACACACACAGAAACAGAGAGAGAAAACTGAGAAAGAAAGAGACAGAGAACAGTGACCGAGTGAGGGACAAAGAGAGACACACAGAGAAAGACTGAAGAAGAGAAGCAGACAGAAAAACAGAGACAGACAGATGGAGACAGAGAAACAGAAAGGAAGACAGACAGACAGACAGATGGACAGACAGACAGATAGGGACAGGCACACGGACAGAACGAGAAAGGCAGACAGCTAGAGAATGACAAAGACAGGCATACAGAAAAACCAAGACACAGACAGAGACACATAGACACAGAGAGAGAGAGAGGCAGACAGATAGATATATTAATAGAATAGAGAGACAGACAGACAGAGAAACATGTGGAGACACACAGATACGAGAGATTTCGTTCGTTGGATTTCTAATACTGAAGTAGTATAATACAAGTAGGTAGCAGCATAATGCACACAGATCTAGAGTGCTGAGAGTTGTCGAATGCGGCGAAAGCAGAGTGTAGTAGACACTACTGTACAGGAGTGAAGCAAAGCTGATTTGTTGTAATGCTGCCTGACTGCTTGCCTGTGTGCAATAATGAGGTGAACTCATAAAACAGTGAGCCGAAAAAAAATATGATTAAAAAGCCGATTCACAAACCAGGTAAAGACAGGAAGAGAAGGAAAGATATGTGCGCGTATACCCTGCACCCGTGCACGCACACACACACACAAACACAGAAGGGAGTTGATAGGTGGAGAATTGCGAAAACAGGGGACCCAGTGTGCCCTCAAGGAGATAAAGAGATAGAGATAGATAGAGAGATATTTTTGGCACAGTATATTCGGCCCTGGTTTAAATATGGCTTTGGAATTTATTTTTCATTGCAATCAGGTTCGGCCTCATTTCTCTGTGCTGTGCTAATGAGTCCACAAAGGACGAAACAGTTCTGTCCCCAGATTGGATAGATAGATAGATATAGATGAAGATAGAGATAGAGAGAGAGAGAGAGAGAGAGAGAGAGAGAGAGAGAGAGAGAGAGAGAGAGAGAGAGAGAGAGAGAGAGAGAGAGAGAGAGAGAGGGAAAGAGAAAGACATAGGCAGCTGTCTTGGTCATTATCATCCGATGTATTCCGTGTGGCGTAGACCAGGTGTGCATTGAGAATCCTTTCACAAGGCATCGCAATAATTATAATTACGGAATTGGGCAGTAATGCTGTGCTAGTCTTGATATGTTTCACTCAGGTCATGTCTGATATCGTTGGCATAAGAGAAAATCAGTGGGTGTACATCCACTGCACTTGCAAACTTGCGTGTCTCTCTTGCGACGAATGCACATGGTACTTGGTGTCTGTGTCAATTGGCTCATTCTGTGGGCGAGTGGTCACTGCCTGAGTTCAATGTCGGAAAAGGTAAGTAGCTCTAGAGTGCAG